GATTTACAGACGTCGCTTTCCCCATGTTAGTCAATGGGAAAAAGTTGTTTTGGGCTGGGTGACGTCACGGACTGATACGGAAGTTGCAGTACCACCGTTTGGACACAACGAATGTTGGGCACAGAGTCCGGCGCACTTCCTGGGGGCTTGACCGGAAGTGGTAAAATGCTAACTTACTTCCGGGTTTTAGGACGCGTCACTGTGGCACTCTATTCCGCTGAAGTATACGCTGTGACGTAATAACTCTTTTATTTTTATTTTTTTGAGGGAAGGGGTGGGGGTCAGAGGGCCTAGGTATAAAAGTTACGGCTCGCCACTGCTTGAAAGCTATTTCATCACATTAACGCAAAAAAAACATTTTGTCCATAACGTTCTGATACTGGCAAAGATATTACATGAATAGCCACCCCATTGATCCCAAGTGGTATGGGAAAATATCTTGTCTTGTCTTATGTGTACATAATACATAATGTCATAGCGGCCAAACATATTCTAGGGTCATTTTATTAGTGACCTAATTAATGCATGATATTCAATGCAGTTGTTGAACAGTTTTTAAACTATAAGGTACCTTAAAGAGTGCTCTGCTATACTGTGTGGCCTGTGCTGCATGTCTGTTGGGTGGGTCCCTCGACGTCTGTGGTTCTGCATTAAACTATTTACCATCCGGATGACTGGAATTATCAAGTGCATGAAGAAAATCGAATTACTGACCTTCCCTTGTAATACTAATGCTGTCCAGAACCTCCTTTTTTTTCCAACAACATAATGACAGTGGCAGGAAGATCACGAGGTCTTGTAATCCCTCTGCCACTTCTGGCCAGGTGTTTAAATGTTGGGTGATGTTTGGTCAGCTTCATAATGGAGAGCAGAATGTATAAATCCCTCGGCTAATGGATACTTCACTTCAGGTTTATAATTCCATGAGCTTTGTTGGTTATTTAATGTTCTTTTTGAAGGAACAGAAACTGATCTGCAAACTGTTTCCAGGTACTTCACTTCCATTAAAGGTTTTCCACCCAGTTGCTGTTTGTTCTCATCATTAGCCAGCGTCACTGTATTGTTTTAATGCTATGTGGTGATTAGGATACTTTTCCACAACTCTGACAATGAAGTTCCTCATTAACTAATGCAGGATTTTGGAACTTGTGTCTTATTATTGACAAAAAAAAGATGAATATCTGACTGACAATATGACAAGAGATTTCATTTCAAAAGGCTCTGTTGTTGTTTTGCTGTGATGAGTTAAGTCGTCATGCTAAATGTAAGATGCAGGCCTTTATCTCCTAATTAAAATGATCTAGGTTCCTCTTCTTCTCTCATTAAGGCTCAGTCTACTTTCTTGAACCAGGAGCATTTTTTTATATTTATAAAATATATAATTGCCAAGTAGGTCAAGATATATTTGATGTCCCCTTTTCACTTTGTAATGATCCATTCAAACTTTTCTTTTATTATAACTGTGGGATTATTCCGGGTGATTGTCAACTATTGCTGATTTTTTTTATAATATAAAGTTTTGTTGTTGAAGAAAGCTCTATGGGCCTTTTATTCTCAGCCAAGAACAGTATTGCATCTCTTTGGGAAAAGACACATTCACCCTGAGTCAGCTGAGACTGATGAGCACTGAGCATAACGTCGCCCTCTCTGTCATGAATGATCTCCTGTGTTGCAATTAATTTTCCGGGCCAATTGGGGCCAAACATAAAGCAATGCAAGCAGTGTGAGATAATTGCATTCTTGACAATAATTTTCCCATTGGAATTGTATTTCTCTGCATCAACTCTCATCCCAGGTCAAAGCAGGCAATGGCATCGAGCCCTGATAACAGCTTGAGTGCAGAGAATGTTTCATTTTAATTGAACTCCCCTTTTCACTGTATGGTGGCCTTTGACTCGTTGAGGTGGCAATTGTCACGAGGGAATAGATATCCATTTTATTAGGGTGAGTGATTTGGTTTATGTGAATATTAGATTTTGTATTTAAAATATTTATTGGAGATAAGCAACAAGACTGACATCCAAAACGGGAAATTGTATCTTATGGGCCGTCTGTGTTGACGTTGCATGCTAGGTGATAGTTAGGTAAAAGACGAATATATGAGGTTATCATTTCTTTCAGATGACATCAAGGCAATACTAATATGTGTGTATATTTGGATCCTCTAAAGCAGGGCTCTCCAACACGTCGATCGCGAGCTACCGGTAGCTCGCGGGCAGCTTTTCAGTAGCTCGCCGCTCGATTATCGATTATAGCGTAGTAAGGTTGCTTATTGATTTTTCGGCCGCGGCTGGACAATAACGTTTTTTTATTTTAGATTTTTTTCTGTCACACGAATATCAAATGGTCGGTGACGCAGAGATCAAGGAACAGACGTGACAGCAGCACAGCGACAACACACACGGAGCAGTCTGCTTTCTCCACCAGCACGAGTCCAGAACTAACAGCAGAATGACCCGCTCTGAATCAGGCCCTGTCGCTGCGCCTCAGAGACACACAGGGAGGGATTTGTGTTTTTTGAAAAACACTCGTTATCGTCATGTCAGGTTTTTGGTGGATTTAATCAAGTCTTGGATTGCAGAGTATGAATGTCCTCTTGCTATTTTCAGTTGATAAATACTTGTGTAAAGTTTGTGAAGGCAGGAGGAAAGCTTCCGCGATCACCGTCTCCTCTCCGTTCCTCCAAACCCCGCCCCCTCCCTGAAAATAATGAGTGACAGGCTGATAGTGACCCGATAGAAACTTTATTATTCACTTAATCACTGATTGAGATATGATGAAGCTAACTTAATCTCATACATTCATGGGATTTATGTAACAGTAAGACAGAGAATGTAAGTGTGCACCCACATGCACTATTTTTGTTTTTATAATGCTATTGTAAATACTCCTGCTGTTTTCAGACTCAAGTCATGTGTGTCTTTTTTTTAACAGAAGACCGTTGCTAGAAGCTGCAGCTAGACTGCAGAAGTATTAGTTTTTTGTTTTTGAGGATGGAACCATTTTCACACACAGATATAGGGAGGCTAGACCTATACAATTGATTTATTATGGTTTATAATTTAATGTCAAGACGAAGAAGAAGAAGAAAAAGATGGCTGAACAACTGTTCAGTGTCAATCCTGTGGAGATCTCCAAAATAATTTTCAGCTTAAGTCTCAGCAAAACTCACAACATTTCTGGAGCCTTGTAGACCCAGAAAACTATAAGAACATTCACCAAGCAGCACTGAAAATGTCTGCTTTATTTGGTTCTGTTCTACATACCTTTGTGAAGCAGCTTTTTCTGACATGAATGAAATCTAAATACAGAACAAGACCGACTGATGAACATTTAAATGACTCTATTAAGTGAACCTAAGTGGGTCCAGCATACACCTCTATGGTGGACTGTATGCAGTGCCATTAATCTCACTAACAAAAGAGTGAAATGCTTGTAAGGTGGTGATTAAGGACACTTATGTGAATGTTCAGTGATGTACTTATTATGTGGGCCATAATAATATGTGAGAAATCTTCGTTTTCTTGGACCTTATTTTTGATAAGCTTTAGGTATTGCAATTTCACACGTGTACAAAAGTATAGCTTAATTCAACTGATGAGGGCTATGTGAATAAATGTAAGCGATGTGATGCAAGTAGCTCTTGGCCACTTTCATTTTTTTGAAAGTAGCTCTCAGATGAAGAAAGGTTGGAGACCCCTGCTCTAAAGTCTCTATAGTCTTCCACAAGCATTTTCCGACATCATATGGAGCTGTTGGAGACTAATTTAGTGCTTCTGGTATAAAGCCTGCAGGTCTGCTCAATTGTACTAAAAGGCTCATCCAAACTAATGAGTTTCCTTGTGACGCAAGACCTAACTGAGAGGCAGGGAGCTTTATGACCCATCATCCATTACTGTTACATAAGGGGGATTACAAGATGGCCAGAAACCAACAGCCCAGTAATTAGCCCGGAGAAACCGGATGGACACTACTGAACTCTTGGGAAAGTTTAGTATATTCCTGGAGAGTTCAATGCCACACTATGCTATTTCAAGGGAGATTTGATTTAATCCAAATCATTTTTTTTAAACTAGCAGGATAAAAACTCTAGGTGAACTCAAGACCAGAATTGTTCGCAGAAACATCTATGTATGAAGATCAAATCTATTTGATTGATGAACAAATTAACACATTTATTTTAAACTGAGTCACAGTGTTCATGATTCAGCTGTGGATTTGATTTGTAGTGTTGTGTTATTCAGCATTTTTTTGTAAAGTGTCTCTTGGTGGAACAGTTGTCTGACCCTGTCCCCTTTGCCACACAAACAAAATGCATCTTTAGTAAACGACTGCAAGAAAGACTGTCCCAAGTTTGTTTTACAAAGTTTTCTCATTGCTTCCTGGTAAAATATAATCAAACATGACTCCATTGTGAAGATCGACTGTCTTTTTAAATGCAGTGACATTTTATGGTATTTTAAATGTTTTTCCCTGGCTGTGAGTACACATATTACACACCCATTCCTCTCATGGCCCTATCCCTTTTTATCTATAAGCCACTTAAGAAATGGTACTATAATTAAAATCACATTGGCATATTTTAATAAAAGAGGCTCTGTCGAATTAGGATGTAATTCTCTGACCATTATAATAATAAAGCCTCTAATATCAGGGGATTTACAGTAGGGTGTGTCCACATGCACATAACACTTTAATTCTTAAAAACATGAGGCATTGACTATGAAAGGGAGATTTTTTTTTTCATTGGTTTCCCACGCATCCAACTTAAAAAAAGAATTCACCACAAAGGATGCTACCAACTGATCAAAATGCTTCATACATTTTTTATGAATTAAACACATTGGATTAATATCATTTACATACACGCTCTTTCATTGGCTTGCTGTAAGTGACGTAGGATGTCTGATTGGCTAGCGGTTTGAGGTAAAACATTTGACTGGCCAATAGACTATGATCAAGTGCTCACTCACTTAATGCAGGATTCCACGGGGAACATACATAAAACCCTGCACTGTGGGGAGTGTTCAGCAGATCCACAAGTGAGACTATCACTGAATTCTTCATTACCAGCAGATACATTATCTCACGGTGAGTACAGACTAAAGAGGATTGATTGAGAATGATTGTGCAAATTAGGCTGTAACTGAATAATATCCAGTTATGTGTTTTTTTTTTTTTTAAAGGTAAGGACTAAATAAAGAAGATGGTTGCTAACAAAAAATATGTGGTTTTGCTGGTTTGATGACGTTATCTGGTAGGCTGCAGTAATTTCTCCTAATGGACAGAGCTGCTGTTATGGTTGTTGGCAAATGCTTAGTGTCAGCATATCACCAATAACTCTTCTATCTGCCTCTGCAAGTTCAGCAGAGAGGAAGTGTTAGAGAGGGACAGAGATGCACATGGCTGTGAATGTGTGCAGTGGATTAAAAACCTTAAAAACATGATGAAACAGAACATACTATAACTTTAAAAACCTTTCCTTGCAACAAAATGTTTTTACTTTTTGTGTGTTTTTACAGGCAATCATGATAATGATGAAACTCTGGACCCTCCTTCTTGCCTATGCGCTGATCATTTGTCAGATGTACGTCTCACAGGCAGCTCCATCCAGGTAAGAGTTGTAGCATTATTCCTAAAAGTATAACATATATTTAACTTTTTTAAATACATTGTGATTGTGTCTGACAATTTATTTTGTGTTAAAGATTATTTCTGAAAAATGAAAGTCCCTTCTACTTTTCTAAAAGGCGCAATTACTGCATGTGAGATTGCATATGGTTAGCATTCGATGTCTTACTGCTGAATGTGTATTTTCAGAACTAGTAAGGAGTTAATGTCAGATGGAGTCCCATTATCGAATGATGATGGCCAGAAGTTACTCCGAGCTATCAAGGAATTCTTGCAAATAACTTCAGATGACCAAGATCACCAATCACCTGACGGAAACAGGTGTGGGTTCTATCTATCTATCTATCTATCTATCTATCTATCTATCTATCTATCTATCTATCTATCTATCTATCTATCTATCTATCTATCTATCTATCCATCTATCCATCTATCTATCTATCCATCTATCCATCTATCTATCTATCTATGCAAAATATAACACACTTTTGTGTTTAAGCCCTGCAGCTCCAAAATTCTTGGTTCTTATTAATGATGAAGGTATACAGTAGAGTTCATGTAAATGTACACTCTGTCATTAAGGCTTAATGCATGGACTGCAGTTAGTGATTCATTCATTTATCCATTTAGAATTACATTACATTATGTGTCTGTCAAAAACATAACAGAGCATGCTATCAAAGTACATAAAAGAACATGCATGATGGATATAAGAGAACATGAAACTGAAAAAAGCATGAAAAGTCAAATACAATAATTTGATTAACATGATTTCCTTACATGCCTGTTGGATCTTTTAGCATGCCTTCAAGAAATTACATTCATTTCACTGACGCCAATTTAGAAAACAAATATCATGCATGAAATTATTAATACTTATCTGAATGCATGTTACTGTAAGTCTGTCTCTGCATGTTTGTCTTTGTCTCTAACAGCTTGGATAGACCCATGTCTAAGCGCTGCACCGGCTTAAGCACTTGTGTGCTGGGCAAACTCTCCCAGGATATTCATAAACTACAAACCTATCCACGCACCAACGTGGGAGCAGGGACGCCTGGGAAGCGAAGTCTCTCTGAGCAATATGAAAACTATGGCAATACTTACAACTAAATCTTTCACTTTCTAGCCCACCTATTAATCTGAGTTAATGTTTGCTCGTTCATCCAGCACTATCTGTTCACAGGACTGCTGATGCATGTGGATTGTATTTGTCTGACTAACTTCATGGAAACGTCCTTGAATTATTTGTCCACTTGCAGTCATTAGATTTTGACTTGAAAATGAAACTGTATATCCCTGTACAATTTTAAAAAGAGCTTGAAACCTTTCTCGTGGTAAATAATAGTTTTCTCTTTATATAACTATGTTTTCACTTTAATAAATGCATCTAAAAAATGGAAGCTCTTTTTTATTCACCCAAGATTAAAAACATGTTTGACTTAAAAAAAATTAAAGAAGAAAAGGGTAAGCATGACCGCCTATAATGCACACACACAAATTATTGAAATATTTATCTACGCATTTTTACTGTGATTAACTTGTTGATGATACTTACCAATAGTGTTCAACATATGCCATGCAGATATCTGGCCTGATCTTAAATGTCATAACAAATGTTTTCATTGTCTTTCAATTTTACAAGTAATGCAACAGCACAGAAGCGGGGATGCAACACGTCCACCTGTGTGACCCACCGCTTGGCTGACTTCCTGAGTCGGACAGGAGGACTGGGACACAGCAAATTCGTTCCCACCAACGTGGGGGCCATGGCGTTTGGCAGACGAAAGCGGCTCGGCCCTGTGTGAGCACAAGAGCAGACACATGGTATGTTACAACTCTGTGCTTTCAGATCTGTTTAATGGCTGGACGTAAAGCTTATACTAAAAGTGATTTTAATGAAATCATTGTGTTTGGAGACTTGAGAGTTAAATTCAGTGGAAACCTTTTTAATTCTAAATACAATTCATGACATTGATATGGTTATCATGGGGAATCTCTCAATATATTATTGTCGAATATATCACTTAGAGTGTGTCCACATGCAGCGATTGGTGAAGGTAGTCAGTACCATGGAAACAGATATTTGAAGTATAACTAAAGCAGTACTGTTTACGATCCAAGTGTTAACTTTACTGATTTGTGCAAGTGATTGTTATGATATAACAACTGGAATAATAGAATTACAGCAATAGGTACCTTAGTTTGGCATTAACTGGAATGAGATATTATGATTTAATATTGTAATGGTTTGAAGTAAGTTTGGAAGTTCTCAAGTTTATCTTACTATAATGTGGTCATTTCAATATCACACACTGACCAAACCAATTTGCCTGCAGTGACATGTTTGTTACAAGCCTTGCAGGCAGTCCAAAAAAGTCTACCACAACAAAAAAACTTGATCCCTGTGTGTTACCCATACTTTGTATAGCTCTTTCTCTTCACTGTTCTGTGAATCTGTGAAATGAAACCAAATGTACTGTACAAATATTTCACTATTCTAAATCTTTTCATTAGATGAACATGTTTTTATTGTGTTCTTGTCTATTTGGCTCTCTAGGACGAAGTGCCTGCTTTAAGGGAGCAACAACTGCATCATCATCTACCTGCAAACACTTGGAAACTAGAACGTATAGTATTCTGCATAAAACATAGACTGATCTCTTGCTTTCAGAAAGTTATAGTCAGTAATGATAATTTGTTGTCTGTGCTTAAAAAACTGAGAAAAAGCATAACATAAATGTTGTTGAGAAGATTTGTTTTTTGCCAAGAAGGACGACAATGTTTTTTTCCTTGTCTTTGGCTCAACTGGTCGTCGGATCTGTATCTGAAGTACGGTGTTTCAAACTGAATGTCTTCAAACAAAACCTTTAACTGTGGCTGTCCTGTGCCTTGGTGTAAACACATCGTTATATTTCATTATTGTACATAACGCTATAGGGAAAAATGTACTTATGATTCTAAATATTGTAATAATTGTGAAATGGAAGCAGGAATAAATTGTATTTTAGCTATATTATTCTTTCATGGCTTACTGTGTTTTTGTTTGATTTAGTGATTAAAGGTGTTTAACGTACTGCTGTGAACATCATTTCAAAAAGGTTCATACAACATGTACAAAATCAAGCTATGCTATTTATAACATTCATTTTTCCGTGAAATAAAGAGGAGAAATTGCATTGACTATGCATACACAATTGGATCATCTCTAAACAAGATTAAAGAATGTTTCTTTAAAAAATGTGTTAGGTGTCAAATCTTATTTGATATTATTTCATTATCAGATGTTTCAATAGAAATCCATTTGATATGTTCAATTGTTGGTTACCTAGAGCTTCAATAAGAAGACTAGAGTAAAAGAGTATTCCACAAATGTAATGCCGTGCATTTTATTCAATTCATAATATACCTGTAACAAATGTGCAGTTATTGTGACTTAAATTAGTATAAAGTGTTTGAGAAGAGATCTATTACATTTGACACATGAGTTTGTGAGTGTGTAGGCTATAAGGAAAGATAATAACCCCATAATATTAGTAGATAATAATAGAACAAACACAACTAACATTTACTGATGCAAATTGGCACACAGTTCCCTTCAAAGCCTTATCTATACTGTTTGTGAACAGGTGGGGGAAAATGGCGGGGCTCACCTTTACAGTTACCTTATAAAAGAAAGAGGGCGGGACATCGTCTCTCTGTTGCACCAATTAACACAAATCAAGTCCTGCTGTCACTCATGCAAAGTGCCAGGCATAGAACTTTGAAACAGTCAATACAGTGGTTTGGTTATAAATCGTTTTTCGTGGTGATTAGTTGAAAAAGGCTCAGCGGGAACGGTATGCATGCGGACGAATAAAAACCCCTCAAAAGCGACGTGGAAAGCAGTTCAAAGGTCAGCAAGGGATGTGGCAACTGGAAAGCTACTTCGATAAAAAGAAACATAACTTTCTCCTACAAAGAAAAAAAGGCCGATCGTCTATTCAAAGGGTGGAAACTTTGGACCAAAGTTGGGCTCAGCCTCATTTTAATTAATATTTGCAACAAACACACACAAATAAAGACTACAGAAGTGGATGGCGCCCCATAAGACATTTGATTTGTACAAGTGCGCACAGACAATGGCCTAAAGTGGTTATAATGCTCTGCAGATAGAGCATGCATGCGTCGAAAAAAGACCTCTCAAAACCACCGTGGAAAGCGGTTAAGAGGTCAGCATGGGATCTGGCTATCACCTGGAAAGCTATTTCGATCCAGGGTAACATAACTCTCTTGAACAAGGGGAAAAAAAGGACAGTCGTCTTGGACCAAACTATGGAGCGAAGTTGGCCTCAGGCTTCAGCCTATAATGTGCGATGAAGACTACAGAAGTATATGGCACACTTCTACAACGACAGGCGGTGATCCCGACCTCAAGTACTCACCTGCCCTTGAGTAACGTTGCAACTCAAAGTAAGTTATTTTTTTGGTTATACATCTGCGCTGTCAACAATAACAACGCCTAGAGAAAATATTGTTCATGTATTTGTTGGTGGCATTTCTAACAGGTGTGCCACATTTAGTATCGATAATATCACAAGTCAATGGATTAACTTGAGTGTTTTAATGATGAGCTCTACAGCCTATATTGGCTGACTTTTGAAGCTGTTCTCATGATGTGCTGAGCCTCCAATTAGCTGTTTTCCTTCGACTGGCATCCACACTCCTCCTTCCAATTCTACAGTTTTGCAACACATAACACCAATTCATGTATTTGCTGATGTTTCGGTTGATTTCTATACTTTTCTCTCTCTACAACTTCTTTATAGCTTAAGCTGCTTATGTTTGATAAGCTAAATCTATCACATTACCTGAGTCAGTTTCTTGGATGTTTTATCACTTCATTCAACAAATCAAGCATAGTATCAGTCCTTGAGACTCTTTGTAAATGTTGGGTCAGTTGCCTTAACAGCAGCTATTTATACTGCTATTGTAAGTCCAAAACACTGTACAAATAGGTAGGCCTACTCTGAACGCCACTGTAACTTTAATTTCTAATGTCATACAGACTAGATGTTAGCTCAACTGTTCACATTAGCTTACTTTGTCAGTGTGTTTACTTAAATTGCTTCTTTGGTGCAAAATATTAGTTGGTAATGCTGTGAGTACTTTTCTGGTTGCTTTGTAATTCAACAGCCAAGTGTAGGCTACATAGTTTTGCCCCCTCTTACTAAGCTCTGTCTGATATTGGGTCCTCCACTTGGGCAAGTGTTCTGTTATAGCTACAGTTAGTCTGACCTTTTCCTTCCAAACAAAGGATATCCCCGGGAATAATTTTTGTATTTGTATTTATAGGCGTAACAGCCCCCTTGAGTGTTGTCACTATTTCTCTAGAGTTTCTGTGTAACAGACCCTGAGCTTCACGCCTTCTTGTCTTTCCTAATTGACATGCTTGTTCTACCAGTTGTTTGACTCTTTCATCCTAGGGAGAATATCCTTTTTTATCTTGGATATCAACGAGGGATTATTATAACATAACACAAACATACGTTGTTGTTTTAATTATAACACTATTCAAATTGGGCATTAGTGTCTCTTGTTTCTGAACAATATAAAAATACAATCAGATTTGGCCGAAACAATGAGCATGGTAAGGTGGTTTGTTGTGATAGGTGGGACAACTTCAATAAATTGTGACTTGTTAGGGGTTCTGTAGCAATGTTATGTAAACTCAGTAATATCAATGTTACTGAATGCTTAATGTGTACAGTCAATGAACTGAGTAGCAATGATTGTGCAATAGTCTGCTGTACTCAGGGTTTTCCTGATTTAAAGGTCACCTATTATGCAAAATCCACTTTTTAATGTCTTTTATACATAAACATGTGTCCCCTCTGTGTAAAGAGATTCTGAAAGTTTCAGGAAAAAAGATTCTCTCACTTTTTGTCCTGATCCATTTATATAAAAACCTGTCTGAAAATGAGCTCATCAGATTTTGGCCACTTTATGATTTCATAACGATTTTTTGGCTTGTGTAACCATTAGCCAATTACCAACCAAGGTAACACCCCCCCACCTTATCACCTGAATCTCCTCCTAGAGCACCATTGTGTTCTTTTTAACCAGATATCTCACATGCCCCTTTCACACCGTCGCTTTTCCAGCTCCTGCTCGGAGCTGGAGCTGGAAAAGCGCCGGTTTTTCCTGTTCACACCGCAGCGGCGGCGCGTCATAGCTCCGGAATGCGGTTCACTTCCAGCTCCAAAAAATTGTCGGTCCAGAGGCAAGAGCTTCGGAGCTATGACGCAGCGTCGCTTACGTCTCTTACGTCGAGGCGTGCAGGAAACCTTACTTTGACCATCCGTTCGCTGTTATTGATCATTGTGGAGATACATGGGCTGTACAGGTTGTCATGTCCGACTATCACAAGTAGAATCATAATGAAAAATACGCCGGTAAAATGTGCCTGTAGAAAACGGCTTAGCAAGTAGTCAGTTTAGCTTCGGTTGCTATGCTAACATCACCCATGTTATACCAGAGAAACTTTCATAACAGCGTTGTGATGCCAAACAGCGTCAATTCAGACTGACACACATTCACTTAAGGGGAACTGGGGATATGTATCAGCTGCTTGTGTGACAGTCAGACAGTGAATACTTTAGAGCCGTGTGAGCTAACCCGGAGCTAACGGGAGAATAAACTCCCGTGGAAGTGCAGCCAGCACTGCAGCGGTCGGTAAATGCCGCTGAAACACATTAATAAACAATGAACCACGGCACTCTGGAGAAAAGTATAAGGTTGGAGAAGTCGTTATTTAATTTAATCTGGTTTCGTATGATTAAAAGCAACACGATCATCGACCCGACGCAGTCCCCGGCCCGTTGTTGTTGTGGGAGAAAATCAGCGACGTAAACTGTGACGTCATGACGCAGCAGCGGCAGCTCTGGGCAGTGTGAACGGAGCGGGAGCTGAAAAGGGAAACCGGAGCTGAACCAGAAAAGCTCTCGCTAGGAGCTAGAAAGGGAAAAGCGCTGGTGTGAAAGCCGCATCAGAGGGGCACGGGGAGTGGCTCCTTATGTTCATCTAAAGTAAAAGACAGAATCAGTCATTCTGAAACAGGGCTGAAACAGAGGGATTTACGGGATGCAGAGACATGTTTTGTATATATCTGAGACCTATAATATATTGATGAAAAACTGTATAATAGGGGACCTTTAAGTTTAAGACAAACTTGCTACAGTTGAGTTACCATTGTTCATTATTTACACAAATCACAGCCTTAGTCTTATTTCATTGAGTTTGTACTACTGTACATACCAAAATAGAGATTTTGAAAACTTTTAAATATTGCTTAAATACTGTTAGAAGTATTCGTTGTTCTCGCGCCCAGGAGAGAAGCTTAGAATGAAGAGACTAATGGAGTCTCCGAAAAGGTTCAAATTGGTTGAGTTTAATTAAATGGCACGATGATACAACAAGCAGAGGGTAAGAGGAGAGACAGAGCAGCTGTTGCCTCGCCGGGGTGAAGGGGTGAAGTCTCCTGGTGAAGAAGAAGAAGTGTCCAGAGCTCCGTCACCTCTCTCTATATCTCAGTGGTGACTCCTCCTCATCAATGGTGGGTGGTCACG